TCCTCTCCCCGGCTTCTTTGGGCAGGGGCTGATTTAAATAGGCTGGCAGGGAGCCAGGAGCTCATCATTTTAATGCAGTGTAAAATGGAATGTGCATAATTATATGCAAGCCATATGTGAGGGAGACAGCTCAGCTGTGAATTTCGGGAGGCTGCGAGAGGGAGAGAGCGAACAGTCAGGGATCAGATGAGATGGAGCGGAACGGAGTGCAAGTGTCACCCAAATGAACAGTGTAATGAGTGTATTGCTGACACTCCTCCTTTCACCTGCTTCTCCCTTTTGCTTTAACTCGAAAGCAGAAAACGCTGTAGATGAGAAGGGAAAAATACTATATGCAAGCAGGATTGCTAATGGGCTCTGGTAATGTTTCCATTTAAACTTCAGCTTTCTTAATTAACAGCATAGTTCCAAATACCCGGTAACTTTTAATGCATCTTTGTCATTAAATATTTTGACCGCATTTGACTGAAGGATCATTGTTCTCGCTAGATGATTGCTCCTTTCAAAGCTTCACTTAAACATGGAGGGGGAATCCATTTATCTATAATAGTATTACATGTAAATTATGAGTATGAAAACTTATTTATTTTTTTTGGCCTTGCTGTTAAACTGAAAATACATTATCTAGGGATTGCTTAAGCATGTCAAAAAGTTTAAACGAGTACATATGTAATGTAATCCTAAAAAATGCAATGGAGTAAATTGAAACCCTGAGTTACTCACAGTTTCCAGCTCAAATATTTCATTTTGGGTTTGTCTTTTGTTGTTCTAATTATTTGCAATGCAATGAATTTGCATGTTCAAGCTAAGCTATGTAAGAAAACAGCATCCCAGGTTCTCATATCTAAAAGGTGTACTGCGTATTTAAACAAACTTTTAAATAATGTTGTATTTTGGGATTCCCGTCTGTTTTAATGATCTGAGCTGTTATGCTTTTAGCTACTTTTTTTTTTCCTTCCATTATTTGTAAGTCCCTAAATAGGCCATTATATTTCCCTTCAGGCTAGAGATGAAGATGGACATGCTGAAAATTTTCCCCAGCAGCACTATGCTAAGGAAACTCCAAGACTTGCCTTCAAGAATAACTGCGAACTACTTGTAAGAATAACATACTTACAACAAGTCTAGATTGTTACTTTAGCACAGTGAAAACCGTTTTTTTTTGAAAGGCTTTTGTTCATTATGACATACATTATGAAATATGATAGTTTTTTTTTTTCCTGTTTAGCGTTCTAATGCTAGTTCTGCTATCCGTGAACAATTTAAGATCTCAAATTGCTTGAAAAATCTCTTATATTTGATGACAGCACGTGAATGGCCTTGTCGTACTACCTTGTCTCGCACGGTAAATCAGGGAGAGCCATGCAGGGAGCAGCTGGTAATGCACGAAAAGCCCCCCCCTCCTCTGAGGCACCCCAAAACTCACTCTCCCATCCACCTTTTAGCTCTGCCTTGTTTTCGGGCAGCGGCGCGGCGTTTCGTTCTGCTGACACGCAGTACTCCCTTTAGAGCTCGCCTATTCCTCCCCTTCCTAGCTGCATGCAGGCGGGAGCATCCTCTCCTCTCCTCTCCTCTCCTCTCCTCACTCCTCTCCTCTCCTCTGCTGCGGGGAAAGAGCAAAAGCCAGGAAAGCACATACAGGGAGCCTGGAGTGTTTACAAGCCGTAAGAGAGATGATATCAGCTGTGAAAGGATCTCTGTTCCAAGGCAGGGTTAATTCGCTGTTCATTTTAGCATTTGCAGCTAGGCAAGATTAAAAGCAAGCAGGAATGCCTATTATATTTCTATTAAATGAATCTGTTGGGACCTAATGTTCTTGATTAGCTTGCGAAAATGAGTGCTCCATGATGAGTTTTTCTGTTTGCCTAAAGTAAACAGAGAATGAATTGTAATATATTTAAGAGAGATTCACGCATGGCTTTCTAAAAGGGAGTTTTAGATGATTTGGTAGATCTCTCCCTCGCATTCGCCTTTCTTCTCAGCCGCACTTAAGTAAAATGTATCATTTGGCTAAATGGAAATATTTGGGGAGAGTCAGAACACTGGGTTATATTTTGAAACACCACTTTTTTTCTCATTATAACTATAGAAGGTGGAGGTGGCGGTGGAGGAGCAAGCTGCGTTTCCGCTGCATTAAACCCCACGTCTGCCTCCCCCGTAGAGGACGCAGGGCCAAATGCTAATCTTGGTGTCCCAGGTGCAGCATCCAGCGAAGTTGAGCTGATGAGCTGACGTAACCCAGCGCCAAAGCCGGCCCCCAGATTCAGGCAGTTGATCAGAGAAGCCCAGACTGGAGGGCAGCAGCCCAGAGGTGGTGGCCAGTCCCTGCTCCCGGCACTGGCCAGAGCGCAGAGCATCTTGGCCTCACCTGCACTAGTGGGCTCATAGGGTCACCTACCCCCCAGGCATCCCCGGTGCTGAGCCAACCCCCAGTTAGGTAATGACAATGCTTTTTAGAGCCCAGGTGTCACTGAGAAAGGTCAGTGCATTCCCAGTATAATTCTCCTCAGCAAAAAGCGACGTGACCCATAAGACCTGATCTTGCTTCCTCTTAAACCCCTTGCAAAGTTGCTGTTGGTTTCAGGGGCAGCAAGGTTAGGTCCTAAGGGGAGAAAACTAGACAAACACAACAAGCGATTCCCCGGTGCAGTCACAATTCTTGTGCCAAATAAGTGAAACTGTTTCTGCAAGGCCATGCTTAATTACTGTGCCGCTGGTCAAATCAGGCCTGATGAACCATCACAGCGCACAAAGATGCCCCCGAAGTCAGTAGGGCTTCTTGGCGTTGGAGGAGTTCAGGACTAGAGTTGGGAGACAACATGATATAAAATGTCATGTATTATTTCAATTGAAAATCTGCTTTATTTTTAGTGCAAGCAATCAATGAACCAATTAACCCCCTTTGTGCTATTAAAATCAAGCATTCTTTTAATGCCCGGTTCATTATTTCTCTATTAATATGAATTTAAGTTTTTGCTGTATTATATCACTTCTGTACCTGGCAAAAGCTCAAGTCATCCAAGTTAGTCTTTCATGTGCTTTTTTGGACAAGTTTCAGTTCTTGTTTAAGGAAGTAATAAAAGCAATTTGTCATAGTTTTATTTTTCCTGTGCTATTGGAAACAAAATTGGCAGGGATGTAATCTGTACTCAATTTGTATGTGAAAAAAAAAAGTGGACAAATAATGAATATGTACCTCTGCTATCTTTAAAGATGTATTTTAGGAACTTTCAGTGAAAATATGATGCTGGGCCTAGGCTTTGGTGGGGAGGGAACTAGTGTTATTATTTGTCGAAGATGCTACATGTTTCACAGAGAGGTAGTGGTTTTCCTTCTATATTTTTACTTTTTGGGAAACAATGCTATATTAATATGTGCTCGAGAGCAAAGCAAATTTCACAGGAACTGGCCATTAAGACAGCATCTTTCTCCTAAAGGCTAGTCAGTATTCCTACGTTTGTGCTAGGAATTGTCTCCTTGGGAGGGGAGAGGGGGGAAAAAAATGAAAGAAAGGAGTGGGGACAGCTGCTTCCTCTTAAAAAATATTTTCCCAATGGTAAAAACTTACCCAGTGCAAGTCAGATGCTGGCTGAGCGAAAAGCTGAGATTTTTTAAATGAAAGAGAAACTGAAACTTGTTTATGCTTTTGAGAATCGGGAAATCCTTGGAGTTTTCTCAGTGCAGTTGAGAGTAAGTACTGTAATAGCCTGTCAGGTGAAATTGGAGGCTTCGGCTCAAAAGTGCTTTCTTTGCTTTAGGGTTCAGCTGCCATTTTTGCAGCAAGGTTTGCTCCGGCAAGCGCAGGCTCCGCTGTTTGGGAAATGCTCGTGCTGGGAGGGTGCTGCCGGGCAGGATCCAGGGGCCGGGGCGCTGTGTGCCAGGGCTCTCCCTCAAGAGCTGCGCTACACCAGCTGAATCTTAACATCCCAGGTCACAGGCACGCATGGCGAGCTTTAACTCCTCAGTAGTTGGAGAGATTTGAAAGCATAGTAACATACAGTATTACAAATTGTATGCTTTCTTCATTGCTTACTCCTCAGAAGAGGAGGTGGTTTGGTTAGCAAGGTGCAACTCAGCTATTTGGGGTTTTTTTGAGAGAGAGAGCTTGATAGGAAATAGGAGGAAGAAAGAGGTATAATTTAGGCAAAAGAAACCCCTGAGTGCTTACGGTAGTTCTGCGCATTAAGAAAAGCGGGGGCAATTAAAGATTTTGGCTGGTATAGAAAGCCATTGTGCAGTTCCGGGATTAGGTTAGGGTATTCATTTCCCGCGTTAAATCCAGATACGTCGTATCATGCCGTTTGTTGTAGAGAGCAGAAAACAAAGTGGTTAAGATGCTCTAGTCAATGAAGACATCGAATTTTCCTTGTGAACTTTTCAGTATTTTTGAGAATCATGTTTTCTTAAGTTTAGCTTCCCATGATAAATACTGGGAACTACATATAACAAATTCATTTTTAAAGAGCCAGGCCAGCATGCTGTCTTGGCCAGCCGTCCGCTTTACTACCATAGGCGCTGCCTCAGGATTTTAATTTCTTATTCCACAAATGGCTGGAAGCTTTTCTTTCAGGCACACCTCTCTGTTTCCAGAAGGAAAAAGCAGAATTTAGTCCTCTGGAAGCTAATTGTCAAGGAGCAGTACAGTCCAGCTAATAGTGGATGTGGGGAGAGAGATGGGATTAACTGCAGGGGAAGGGTAGGCTAGAGTGAAAAGGCTAGTGAAAAGCCCACAGTCCCGGCTCTAGCTGGCTGAAATTCCTGAGCCATTGCCTAGAGAAAGGAAAAATCCATCTGGCACCTACCCAGGTTAGTCAGGGTAGGAAGAGCCATGCTTGGATGCCTTTTAACAAAAGTGGGAAAGAAAACCCAACAGTTTGTCCTCCCCCCCCCCAAGTTACCCAGAATATTGGGTCAAGGTTTCAGATTGGTGTGCTGCTGTATGAGCAAATGAGGGTTTGATGGGTTAAGGAAATTAAACGCCAGGTTGCTTTCCAGATCATTTGTTTATGGAGATGATCTGAGTACCACCCACTGCTATGGGATTATATGTAAAGCAAACAAATAACCAAACAAAACATAAACACCCTGAAAAAAAAATTCATTTCCAGTCCCACACCCAGCTGTGATCCATGGTTTTCCTGCAGTAAAATTGTGATCTTTTTCTCTTTGAAATCAAAAAGTCTGCTCCTAGTAGTTCTGCTCTGGGAGGATAAATTCTTGGCTCCAGTATGCGATGAATTATAAGGTAGTCCTGGTGCTTGGAAGCTGTTATGTAAAAGACACAAAATAAAATATGCTTGTTATTGGATTTAATGCAAACTCACCTATGGCCAGTTATCTTTAATCACTAGCAAAAAGAGGCAGAGAAAGCTCTGAAAACACATCTACAACTGAAACATGAAATGCAAAATGTTCTCCTATGAGCAAAAGCCTTTGGGGAGGCTATGGCAAGGCTGAGAGGAGCCAGAGCTACAGCTGATGCTTCGCTTGAAGTCATGTCACTTTGCTCTGCTGTTCCAGCACTAGAGGCAGGGTCAGGAAGCATGGCACACGTGGGGCATCCGGACAGGGCAGCAAGGATGCAGGCAGGTTAACCGCAGCGTTACGGTACTGGAATGTGGGAGAGATTGCATACCTACAAGACCAATTTTAAAAAACACTGAGAATTTTTGTGATCAGACGAGGCCAGTAGGCTTTGTAGTCGTAGTCAAGTTAAATGCAAATATGCATATCGGTATCCTTTGGAGGCCATGAGAGTTTTGGTTTCAGAAAGTGAGGTTTGGATTCTTTTTTTTAAGGTACCTGACCTGTTTCCTGTGCATCAGTGTCAAGCAAAACCACTCCCTGTTAGTGCTTCAGCATTAAAAGGAAATACCCATCAGTCCATTTATAACTGCAGTGCCCTCAAAGGAGTACTGAATTTGGGGAAGATAGCTTTGCTCATCCCCTCTCTTGCCTTTCCCCCCTGCTTGTCTCCCATGCTGCCTCCTTATTCCTAGCAGAGAGGAGAGAGAAAGCAAAGGCTCTTCCCCGCTGTAGCTCTCCCTGGCTCTTCCTTCACCCTGCTAGGTGGCAAAGCAGCAGAGGGAGAGGGAGAG